TAATGAGTCCCTGGATGGATTCACAATGTGGCGCTCAAAGGCAGGAGGTGGATCCTTGCTGGTGGACGTAGACCAGTGGGGACATGGGCTTGAGACATCTTACCCCAACTCTTCCCTGTATTTCTCTCTCTCTCTCTCTCTCTCTCTCTCTCTCTCTCTCTCTCTCTCTCTCTCTCCCTGCTTCTAATTGCCATTAAGAACACCCCTCCTGAGCCTTGTACCACCATGATGAATATGCCCTTCACCTTCGTGCCACCATTCGGCCTCAAGACAGATCCAGGAACAAAGGGCCAGGCAGCTATGGACTGAGCCCTCTGAAACTGAGAACCAAAATATTATGGTTCCTCTCTTACGTTGTTTCTCTCAGGCATTTAGTTAGACTTGCAAGAAAAATGACGTACATTATCCTGATTCAACAAGACAAAGTCCACATGAGAAGAGTCGCACAAAGACAGAGATGCAAGGCGGTCAGTGTGGCTGGTGGAGACAAAGGTAGAGATTGGAGGGATGCTTCCACAAGCCAAAGGATGTTGGAGTTTATCACATACCATTACATGTCAGGAGCAACAAGGAAACTGACAGATTCCAGAGCAGGTGGGTCACATGGACATTTTGTTTTGGACGCTGGATCTGCAGGATGGTGAAAAGCCTCTTGGTGTGTGGTAGTTTGTCCCAGAAGCCAACATAGGGTCAAAGGGAGGCTTGGCTTTACCAGGATCACTCTTGCAACAAGACCAGTGTCCAGGAGAGAGGATAGGCCTAAAGAAGACTGGCAAGGCATGAGGACTGTTTGGGGAGTCAAGCTTGGGGCCAGCGTGGGAATGAAAAGCCAGTGATGAGCAGGCGGCAGGTATGGAAAACCCATGACTTCAGCCACCCCCCAGGGCCTTAGTTCAGAACTGAAGGATGACTTCCCACAATGCTCACGTTGAGTCTTTCCCCAGTATCTACTATTGACATCCTCAATGTCACACCCACAGAAAGAAACTTTGAAGAGGTGGGGGGGGTGGAACCCCCAAGGAGATGTGCAGTGTTCTTAGTGTTTGTACAAGAAAAAGGCACCAGAGACAAGAGGTGGCAAGAAGGCTTGGCGGAGACCAACCCAGACCTGGGAGAAATGCGCGTCTGTTGTTTAAGCTAACCTGCATCCAAGGCAGCCTTCTAGTCTAGCTAGCCATGCATCCTGCACCTTTGACACCAAGGCATGGCACTGCCATCTACAAAGTCCACACTCTCAGAAAACAAGAAAGAAGAGGGTTAGGGGAAGCACCAAACAACATCAAAAACCAAAGCAAAGCCCTTGACGCTCTAAGTCTGTCTACAGGGATTTTGTGGTTCACATTCACAGCTATCGGGGTGCAGGCAGCCTGTGGGCTGCAGGCTGGCTAATCTGAGAGTTCACAATAGACTCAAGGCCTTGACTCACCGTGCGTGCTAGCAGGCCCAACACCTGGCCAGGGCAGAGGAACTGTCTGTCCTTTCTCTGCTTTTGTACCTCTACAGGCTGCTTCCTTCGGCCACCAGCCCCTTCTACTCTGTCTGGTTTATTCATCAGTAAGACAGCCCGCTACATCATAGGCCATCCAAGCTGGCCACAAACCAAGCCACAATATATTTTGACTCTATGCGTCTGGGGGATCTCTCTTGCCAATAATAATTTTGTCATTGCTGGGCACAATATGAGACTGATGGGAAATTTGAATTGCATCAAATTTGCCTGAATCATGTTTTTCTTCTTTTGATTTTTCTTTCTTTCTTTTTAAAATCTTCAGATACTAAGAACGTAAAACCCACCTTGCAGCCTGGGGCTTCATGACCCCTGGTTAAGCATGTGGCACTTGTTTGATCTGTGTACCTTAGATCACCATGTAAAACTGGGGACCGCAGATATGGGAGATAAGGGAACAACTCTGTGCATGTTTGTTGGGGAGGACATACAGCATTTGAACATGGGGTGGGAGGTGCCAAGTCTCCTAAATCCATAAAAATTACTTTTCGAGAAAAGGTCTCATAGAGCCCAGGCTGGTCTCAAACTCACTAAACAGTCAAGGATGCCTCTGAACTTCTGATCCTCCCGCCTCTATGACTCGTGTAGGGGAACTCAGGCATGCACCATCACATCTGGTTCCTGTGGTACGAGGGATGGAACTCAGGGCTTTGTGGGTGTTAGACAAGTGCTCTACCCACCTCTTACCCTAGGTATCCTGAATATAACCACCTACTAACAACACTGGGGCATCTAGGACTCCTGTTGGCCAAGAATTCAAGTTGCTACAGAAACAAGAGGAGAGCACATGACAATCTCGCTTCCCCCTCTGACCAGTAAGAGAAAACACACACAAGACGATTCACGGGGCCACTTGGAGTTTCTAGTTTAGCTCTGGAGATGGGTACACAGAAGATGTCCCCACATCAGGCTAGAAAGAACTTGTCAGCTCTCAAGCCTATGCCTCGAGGTTTTGCAACACGAGGCAGGGGCAGAAGCTAGAGGAATGGGCAGCTGATGTGATGGGAACAAGGGACCTTGTACAGAGTGAGAGGCTGGATGGGAGGGAAATGCATCTAACTACACGATCCCCTCACTTCTGTTCCGTTCTACGCAGGGTGGAGGAACACATTTTCACCAGATGCTTTCCTTAGGGAAGAAACTGAATTTCTTTATCCTGAGATTCAAGTGTTTGCACATTAAGGGACTGCTAGCAAGCCAGGGCCCGTTAGCTGGAGGGAGGGAGGGAAGCCAGGGAGGGATGGGACCTGGAGCACAGGTCTCAGTGGGTGTGGAGGTCAGCGAAGAGGAAGAGCAAAGAGCTGAGTCAACTTAACCCGGGGATCCAGGTCCAGTAAGTGGAGGAGAGGCATAGAAGCCAGGAAGGCTGGACTCTCCTGTCCCATTCATGTCCTTAATCACAAACAGAAACCTTATGTAGCCCAGGCTGTCTTCAAACTTGTTATCCTCCTGCCTCAGCCTCCACAGTGCCAGTATTACAAGGAACTTGCCACCATACTCTTTTTTTTTTTTTTTTTTTTTTTTTTTTTTTTTTTTAAGTCTGTGGATCCTTCACAGACTCATGGACCCTAGATTCAGAGTAGGACAGAACCCTGGGAGCTAGGTGACTGGTCATTCCTTGTAAAGAGACACCTGGCTTCCTTGGGGCACCTGGGACTGTGGAGAAATCTCCCTCTCCAGCCTCCACTGGGTCACTCATCTGGGGAAGCGGATGAATGGGTTCCAGTTCCTGGCAAAATCTCAGGTTTCCAGTGGCTCAACCTTCCCTAGCCCTTCTCTTATCTCCTCTCTTGATAGAAAGGTTCATCAAAGATGGGGATGCGTGGACCATAGATGTCCTGATGGGATTAAAGAGAAAGGAGGAACTAAATTCTAGTGCTTAGTAGGTTGCTGGGGGCAGGTCTCAGCCCAGCTCTGGCCACAGGGATGAGTTCAGAAAGGGGCTTGTTAGATGACGATGCAACTGCTAATGAGAATGGTCTTTAGGGATACTGGAGCCCTGGGGCTTGAGCAAATGTATGCAAAAAATGTCTCCAAGATGCAGGAATGCTGAGCCACAGACACAGATGTCACCAGCAGAGAAATGCTCGCATGGGAACAACTTTGTGTGGGGCCCCAGGTCCCCTGGTGTAGGTAGAGGGATTTTAGAAGAGCCCTGCGAAGACTTATGGATATCATAGGGTAAGTTTTTCTCCAAGTGTGACCACTGTCAATCAATCTTCCTGCTTTGCAAGCAGGCTTGGCCCCGGGGACAATTCTGTATGATTTGTCCATCCTGCTACCTCTGCTAGTTCAGTGCTTGGGGACAGCTCTTCCTCTTGTGTCAGGTCTGATTGGGAACACAGATCAGTGACCTCAGGACACTCCCTTCCACTCGCTGTGTACCGCCCATTCTCAGCATCCCTCAGGCAGGAACCTGTGGCAGGGAGGGGGTGGGGCAGCCCAGCACAGCCCAGGAAAGCTTCCCTTTTGGGTGGGGAGAGAAGAGAGTCATGGGAGCTGTAGAGTAGGTGAGGGGCACAGGGTCCTGAGTGGGGAATCCACTCAGAGGACTCAGCACCAGGCCGCAGCAGAGACCTCGGACCCTCCACATATACACACCTCCCCATCCCACCACCTCACCCCCCGCAAGGGACTCAGTGGATGAGAGAGAAGGGTACCTCTGTAAACAGTCGCGCAATACCCACGTAACCCATCATTCACACACAGGACTGCATCCATCATAGTGAGAGAACCAACTCCAGCCGTGTCAGCGCCAAAGAGGGAATGTACCAGAACTCTCTTGCCTCAGCCCCTGATCTCAGGGCTTAGACTTTGCAGGGGGGGGGGTTGCCATGAATGATGGGGAACCATAAAGGCCCCCCAGATGTCCTATCAGTTGAGAAGCTGTGGTGTCCTCCAGTTGCCCAGGTGAAGATGGGCTGTGCGGTGAGCTAGAAGGATGTTCTTATCAAACAGGATGAAAGTGAAGCCAAGGGACTGGTCCCCAGAGAGGGCCCAAGCTAAAAAGACACACAGGACTGCCTAGCAACCTTCAGAGTTGCTTGTCCAGGGGCTAGCAGTCACTCCCAGCCTCTAAAAACAGATGTTTGCAAGCCTAGCCTACCCCTCCCCACTCTGACCTCGGCCTGGGAGCCTTGATTTGACAGAGCAGCCATGCTGTTCCTGATTCCATCCCTGTCCTATGTTCTGAGATAGCACAGCTGGAACACTCCATAGCTGGACAGACTTGTCCGAGTGGAAAGAAAGCTGGTGGCCCTGTCCACACGTAGACACACACGCACACACGGCCCACAGGGCTGTGTGCCTTGGTCTCCACAGCCTGGAGGTGTCGTGTTCATCTGCAGCTCCCTGTACCATGCACTGGACCCTCACTAGTCCAGTCTGATCCCAGCTCGGGGGTCCCTGCTCCTGCGTGCAAGTCCAAGATGTGATCAGCTTTCATGGCATCCGTGTCCTCACACAGGTCTCCCAGGCTGGGCTGCGTCGTGACCCCCTTGGTGGTGAGGCTGGGTCTCCTGAGCTGGCAGAGGGCAGAGCAGGGAGGAAGAGGTGGTTTGGGGGTGAGTCCATGTGTCCATGGTCACAGCCTGGAAGGGAGAGAGAAGAAACAGTGGATAAGAGGGATATGAGTCCCATCATGCCATCTTTTACGTGCTAACACCTTGTCCGAGAGTGACTTCTGGTGGGTTCCCAACCTTTCCAAGCAGAAGGGACTTCTACTGACAAAAATCCTTCTCTAACCAGACTCTGGACTGACTGATTCCATTCAACCCTGGAAAAATGGTTTAGCTGGTGGCATTTTATATCCTTTTTTCCAAACCAAAACTGAGGATCAGGGAGGTTATGTGCTTTGCCCATGGGTGCACAGCTAAGATCAAGATTTGAACACAGAACGCCCTCACTACAGCAGGTAGTCCAGACCTGTGCCAAAGACTTGAGTGACATCGGCAGACCCTCAGGATCACAAATATCTCTTTAGCATGGGCTCTGATTCCCCTGACAAGAGTTCAACACACACAGGGATGAATAACGGAAAAACTGGATGCAAAATTCCATAGGATTTCTAGCATCCTGGGACACAGGACCACACTTATTCTCTGTTTCTGCCTCTTTAGTCTCTGTCTAGAGAAGAACCTAGAAAACCAGGCTTCCTGCCTCCTCCTCACCCCGTTGGTGAGTTTGGGCCTTTGTGCTCAGTTGAATGCTTTGGGCCACTAGGTGCTGGCCCAAAAGACCTTTGGCTTTTAAAGTGCCAGATACTCTGAGCACTCTTAGAAGGCAGAGTGGTACCTGTATGCACTGCCTCCCACCTGCTTCTTGCATGACTAGCTCTACGTGCCACCAGGCTGCCAGTCCAAGGCTCCTACTCCCTCCTGGCACACAGTAGCTGCCAGAGCAGAGTGAACATTGGTTATCTGAGGCGCACAAGTCCCCAGTGCCAAGCACATGACCTTGCTGGGCCCTCACGGTAACCCTGCTATGGGTTTCCCTGCCCCCAGTGTTCAGAGTATGATATTATACATAGCTATTAATGGCAGAGAGGAAATTTCAACCTTTGTCCCTCTGATTGTGGACTCTGCATTCTTTTAAACTGCCCAGGAAAAGGGTGAGCCCCTGGGATGAGAAGCATTGTGAAGATCAGAGGCAGGACCGCCTCCAGATGCCAAGCTCCTGGGACTCTGGGGATCTTCATGGGGCTCCATGGCACACCAGCACCTACCCATCTGTGTGCAGCCATGCCTGGTGAGCAGATACAGCAGTGCTATGTGTGCTGTGCATGTGTGTGCATGTGCCATGTAGTATTTCTGTGTTTGTACCTGAATTTGCCTACATGAGCAGGCTTAAGGGTGTACTTCCATAGAATGTTCCTATGTATGGAGGGGTGTGTACAACTGAATCCCCCCTCCCCCGGCCGCCTCCCTGCGTAAGTCTGTGTGGAGCACTGTTTCTGTGTTGGTGTGTGTGTGTGTGTGTGTGTGTGTGTGTGTGTGTGTGTGTACCTGAGTCTGTGTGAGCTTTCCTATAGGATGGCTATAGGAAATGATGCCCTCTAAGTAGTCTCCCACTCACCTTCAAGTGCCATCCAGCATGGTGTCAGGCCTGGGGAGGGATCCCAGGGAGAGATGTGTGTTCTTGGTCTTGGGGAAAGCAATGGATCTACAGCTACTAAGGTGATGGCAAGGAGGGGCATGGACCCTCCTAAGTAGGAAGCAGATGCAAAGGAAAAGCTGGGGGGCCCTTCCTGTCTCTAGACTTTTGCAATGGAGGATTCTGGGAGCTAAGATATGCCATGCAGGGGGCAGGTGCTGGCTCAGGTGGGAGGAGCCCTGTTAGGAGTAGGTTTTCCCTGCCGGCCCGCCCGGTCCCAGAACCGCGCCAGCCACAAATATCACACTGAGGCGCTGCATTAGATATTAAGCTGTTGGCCAGTTACTAGTGTTTCTTATTGGCTATCTCTGTCTTAAATATTAACCCATTTCTATTAATCTAAGTATTTTCAGGTGGTCTCATCTTACCGGAGAGAGGGGCTGGCATTCTGCTCTCTCCGTCCTCCATCTTGACTCTCTTCCCTCTATACCTCTCTCCTCCTCCTCGTCTCCTAGTCCCGCCTATCTTGCTTTCCTATTGGCCAACAGTGCTTTATTCATTAACCAATAAGAGAAACATATTTACAGATTGACATCTCCCATCACAGCCCTGTAGTTAGTTGGCTTCATAGTGGAGACCCAGGTCACATGACAGCTGCTCAGACTGTGGTAACTGTGCCAGCCACAGGCAGACTCTGGGGCCTCAGTGTCATTGCGGGCTCCCCTGCAAAGACACTGGTACACAAGCGTGGTGGTGTGGTGGTGGGTGCTGGGGGTTAGAGGGGACAGCAAAAAGGAAACAAAGGTCAAAGGGTAAGCAGTGGGGGAGGTGCTGAGGGGCACACATACTCTGCAGACTTCCAGAAATGTCCTGGGTGCGACAGGCGGCGGTTTCGCTTTGGCAGTTTCTCTAGCATGTCCATGAGCTTGGTGAAGGTAGGCCGCTCTTCCTGTTCGAAGGCCCAGCAAAAGAGCAGGATATCCTAGAAGAAACCAGTAAGCCTTAACTGGACCTAAGTGGTGACTTTACTGAGTCCTCATCCAAGTCTCAGTACCTGGGCATTGCTCTAGGGCTAGCCATTTGTCTGCCCATCTGGTCCACTTCACATCTCTCCATCATCTACCCTTCCATCTATTTACTATCTGCTCATAAACATAGCCATCTCACCCACCCACCCACCTACCCATCTACCCGCCTACCCATCCATCTTCTAATCACTAGCCACCAGCCATCTACCCACTCATATATACAGCCTACCCACCCACCCATTTACCCATACATCAATCATCTAATCACCAACCAGGAGCCACCTACCCATTCATATACACAGCCATTCCACCCATCCATCCATCCATCTGCCTACTATCCATTCACATCAACTCATTCATTCATCCTTCATCTAGCACCCATTCTTCCATCCATTCATCCACACATAAATTATCCACTCTCTCATCCATCTCTCCACTCACCATCCATACATTTCATCCAATTATTCATCTACTGTCCACAAAGCATGAATCCTCATAACCATTCCTCTACATGAATTCACTTATTTATCTTCATCTCTCATCTACCTATCCACCCATACATCTTTTCCCTCACTCTCCCTCCATCCTCTCTTCTCATTTACTTGATCAACCACTCTAGTAAGCCAGGGAGGCCCGTTGCTAGAAGACTGGAGATATTGCAAGGCCAATAGTAGCTGCAGGGAGTTTCTTGACATTTTCCTTGAAAGTGAGGAATAGAAGGAAATCCTGAAGTCTCTAGCTACATCCCACTTGATTAGCAGGTGTCCCTCAAAGTTATGGAGGAGAAAAGTTCATTTCTATGTATCCTTGCCCAGGTCCTGATGAACACCTGGGGTAATTACTGCTTCCCTGACTTCCCTGTCTTCTGACCAAAAAAGGATGACCCTCCATCCCCACTGTGTTTCGGAGGAAGGGTTCTCATTTACAGTCTGGCTTTTGTCTAGCATACTCTGAGTTAGTTTAATACTATTGTTGGATGCAAGTAAAAAAAAATAAATGAATGCTGATAGTTTGTGATATTTTAATGAACAATGTTTAAATAGTTAACAGACCAGGTATTCATTGATTTTTATCTAAAACAGCAATCCATTGCCAGCAGGTTGATCAAAGTGTTACTGTGCCCCTGGTGACAGGCACCTGGAATTGCAGGCACAGTGCTAAGAATTTGCCCATAAGCTCCAAGCAGGTCAATTTTTTTTTTTTTTAAGACATTCTCTGGGAAAGCCTACAGAGCCTACACACACAGGACCAAGAAATCCCAGGACTGTGTCTCTCACGGGACTTACCGAGATTTCTTTTCCCATGCCAATCTGGCTGAGGTTGGGTTTCATGCCTGCACCCATCTGCCAAATTATTGCCTCTGCTGGTTGAGTCTTGAATGGCCACTCCCGGGCGTGGAGCTCATACCAGATGGTTCTGTTGGGCAGAGGACACAGTTAATGAGGCATTGCTGTGGGGTGCCATTCGTGAGCCAGGAGCCCCCTCTTCACCCACCACACAATCAGAGGTGGCTAACCTCCAGGCTAGCCGTCCCCATTGTAGGCTCCTCCCACGGACTGCTATTTTGTCTAAAACCCTCTTGAAGTCAGTCATTAGGTTTGTTGTATCAAAATACTTTTTTTTTTCAGTGCCAGTATGGATACAACTCTACCTGAATACTTTAACACAAGGTGGTGGCTATCTCTGACCTTATACTCGCAACACTAGGAAACAACTGCATTTGAATACTTTATTCATGAGGTTGTTCTCTGTGGCCTTACATATAACACTGAAAAGGGTAGAAATAACATAACATCTCAGTAGTAACCTGCAGATGTATGTACTATAGTAACTCCTTAAAATGAAACAATGAAAATGTTCGCAAGGTATTTTGCTGGCATGAAAAATTCTCAACAGATCACTGTAAGCATAAAAAATAGGATGAGGAATGTATCCAGGGTCTTTAAAAATATTGAGATGTATGCCTGGGTTGTGGGGGGGTCATGAAAGCCAACGATATGCCCGTGAGGAGTAGTGGGATGGGGAGCTGTCACTTTCATAGCTGTGCAGTGTAAGGACAAATCATACAGAGTGGCGGAAAGAAACATACGGAGACTGTGGTGTGATGCAGACTTGCCTGTCTATGCCAGTGAGATGATGCAGTGCAAACCACGCCTTCTCCTGTGCCCGTGGAAGGAAGGGTGTCTGTGCGGGATGCCAAGCATCCGGACACAGGGCTAGGGTTACTCCATGGATATTTGCCACACCACATCTCCCATAAATCACAACAATGCAACAAAGGGACAAAGGATGCCAGCGGAGGTCTTGGCCACGGATTAGATGATGGCTGGATGGCACATAAATAACACTGTGAGGCACCGTCAGTGGTGAGGATAGTGACGGATGAGCTGGGGCGGCTGGCATGTCACTGAGCTATACTGCGGCCAACAGTCTCTGTTCCCTGAGAAGCAACGTCTTTTGTTTCAGGAAATATCTCAATAAAAATGGCATTTCCTCCTCCACAAGGAGACCTCTGGACTTCTCCTTCTCTCTCTCTCTCTCTCTCTCTCTCTCTCTCTCTCTCTCTCTCTCTCTCTCTTTCTCTCTCCCCCTCCCTCTCCCTCTCTCCTTTTCCTTTTATCTTTTCCTGAGACAGGGGTTCTCTGTGTGGCCTTGACTGTCCTGTAACTACCTCTATAGACCAAGCTGGCCTCGAACCCACAGAGATCCACCTGCCTCTGCCTCCTGAGTGCTGGGGCTAAAGGTGTGCACTACAACATCCTTTTTCTAAGGGACATAAAGCCACTCTGGCATTCTCTTGACTGACCAAGGACTGCGTTAACTCACGATGAAGACGTGCCCATGAAGAAGGCAAGTTTGCTTTATTTAAAACTTTGCTTCATTTTTAATTAAGTGTATGCGTGGATATATGCACATGACTATGGAGGCCATAAGAGGGTGTCAGAGATTCTGCAGTTATAGTTGTGAGCTGACTGATGTGTGTGCTGGGAACCAAACTTTAGACTTCTGGAAGGCCAACAAGGACTCTTAACCATGCAGTCCTAGATAGCCTGGAACCTACTGAATCATCTCTCTAGACCCTAGGTTGCTGCCCAAATGTAAGATGAATAAGGACAACAACACACATGTTAAAGTTGACAGGGGAAGCCCAGGAGGCCTCAACTCCACACTAAACTCTACAGGCAACTAAGGCATGCAGAGTGTGGGAGAAATAGTCTTCCCCAAGGAAGAGCACGCCAATGGTCGGCCCTGAAGACACACACAAATAAGAGTACACAGACTGAGCAGGCTATATTTAGGGATACAAATGTATATGCAAGAATGCATGCAATAACGATTAATGGAAAGAAGCCATGCATTTGGAAGGTGGGGTTTATGGTAGGGTTTGGAGGGAGGATAGGGAAGGGAGTCGTGATGTAATTATATTATAATCTCAATTTTTAAATTAACAATAAGTAAATAATAAATGAAAAATCCTCCCTGCATTTCATTTCCTTTGCTTCTGGGGATGGAACCAAGTGCCTCGTGTGTTTCGGTTGCGGTTAACCCCTTGTATCACTGGCTTCAGTGTGGAAGCATGAAGCTCAGTTTGATTGACAGTCTTTGGGGGAATGTGGGTTTGGCCTGGCTTTGAATTGCTGTCGAAGGATCCAGAGCCCCGTACATGTCTAAGCAAGCACTCCACACTGAACTTCACGCCTAATACTTCATATCTTTTTATCCCAATGCTTGGCCTGGTTGGCGACTGGCTGGTCCTGGTGGACCGTCCCCTGCCTGGGGTAGCTGAGTGCTGTGGACAGAGAGGGACTGACCAGGAAGTGTGCCTTTCACAACAAACCAAGTAACTCAGAGCATTGGCCAGTCGGTCACATTTAGGGTCCATGTCTCCTCTCCAACCCCTCCATCCAGGGCCCAAGAGAAGATTCCAGTTTAATGATGTTTTTCTGTCATTCTCTTTCTTGTGCACATGGGTTCATGTGGGCATATATGTATGTGTGTCTGTGCTTATGTACCTATGTGCACATGTATGTTGATGCCAGAGGTCAACCTCAGCTGACATTCTTTAGCTATGTTCACTTTGCTTGAGACAAGATCTCTCTAGGTAACTGTGGCTGGTCTCAGACTTACTGTGTAAACCAGACTGCCTTTGCACTCCAGAAATCTGCTTACTTATGGCTCCTGAGTGCTGGGATTAAAGGCATGTACTGCCATACCCAGCTCTTTTTTTTTTTTTTTTTTTTTTTTTTTTTTTTAAAGACAGGGTCTCTCACTGACCTGGAACTCATCAATTCATCAAGACTGTCCCGCGGGCTCCAGGGACCCACTTGTCTATTCTTTCCCAGATGCTGGGCTCACAGGCACACACTACCATACCCAGCTTTTTTTTTTTTTTTCTTTTGTTTTTCAAGACAGGGTTTTTCTGGTTGTCCCGAAACTAGCTTTGTAAGCCAGGCTTGTCTCAAACTCACAGAGATCCACCTGTCTCTGCCTCTCAAGTGCTGGGATTCAAGGTGTGCACCACCACTGCCTGGTCATACCCAGCTTTTTATGCGGGTTCTGGGAATCGAACTCAGGCCCACATGCTTGCATGCCACACACTGAAGACTGAGCCATCTCCCCAGTTCCTGTGAAGGTTTTATTAAGCTTAATCTGCAATAGAGAGAAGCAGGGTTTTGAGTATGGTTCACTCCCAGGTCTGTGGGTTGCTGCGTCCAAGCCACAGATTTAGGGTGGTCTTGGTCCGAATCCCTGCTCTGCCTCCAGTTGCTGCACAGCATGGCACAACCATGTGGCCTCCCTTTTTCCACCGGTCGATCCAGGACAGCATGGCCCCCACTTGGGAAGATGTTTGTGAAGACAGTGTGCTCACTCACTCTCTCTCTCTCTCTCTCTCTCTCTCTCTCTCTCTCTCTCTCTCACACACACACACACACACACAGAGAGAGAGAGAGAGAGAGAGAGAGAGCTCAGCACAGCGTTCAGTCCATTTCTAGCAGCTTCTTTATGCTCTAAATCATTCCTGAACATGAGGTTCCCTGGCAACGGGATGCTCCTAATTGGTGGGAGTCCAAGAGCACAGGGTCCGTCACAATCCAACAGTGTCACCAATAAAAGGCTCATTAAAACTTCCTTCCTAACTCAACTTTTCAGAGAAAAATTCACTTTGAGGAGTAAAAAAAAAAAAAATATTATAGATGAAAACTCTTGTGGGAAAGCAATTACTTACTCTAGTACATTTTGTTAATTACATTTCTTTTTCTTTCGTTAAATTCACAGTAAAAATAAACCAACTTAATTACTGCAATTTGGTTCCAGATAATGATATATAACTAGATAAAGATTTGGGAATTAACTAGTTAGACCAAGTGATGGCTTCTCAAGGGGCTCAAATGATGGGCTCTGAGGATTGAAGTCTTCTTAAAATGCACAGTTGGGGGCCGGCAGTGAGGGCACAGTGGGGTGCTTTTCTACAGGAGGCTGACTGCCTCTCTAATGCGCCCCAGGATGACAGATCTAATTGCACAAATCTACAACCTTGCAGCTTCCATGGTCAGCGTTCCCAGCACTGTCTCCCACCCTACAAATCCATCCCACAAATAAAGCAAGGAGAGCACAGCTATTTATGGGATGGGGCACAGCTATTTCCTGGCTGCATTTTCTCATCTGGTGGCGGTGGTGTGTGTATATGCATGTGGTAGATGTGTTCTTGTACAAAGGGCACCTAAATATGTGTGGAGATCAGAGATCATGTTGGTATCTTGCCACAATTTCTCTCCACCTTCTTTTTTTTTTTTATTTTTTATTTTATTTTGAGGCAGGGTCTCTCACTGGGCCTGAAATCACTAATTCACCTCGGCTGGCTAGCCAATGAGCTCTAGGGACCCAGCTGTGTCTACCTCCCCTGCGCCCACCCACCCAGTTCCTTATGTCATCAATAAAGTTACAAATTCATGTCCTTGTGATTGTGCAACAAGCACTCACTGGCAGAACCCTCTCCCTAGACCCTTCTTCTTCATCGTTTCCTCCTTCTCCTTCTCCTTCATCGTCTTCATCTCCTTCTTCTTTGCCTTTGTCTTCTTCTTCCTCTTCTTCTTCTTATTAATTGAGGCAGAGTCTTAATCTATATCTTAGACTAGCCTAAAAACTGGAAGTAGTTTTCCTGCCCCAGCCTCCTGCATGCTGCTATAGTCACACCTCCTGCATGCTGGCTATGGTCACACCTCCTGCATGCTGGCTATGGTCACACCTCCTGCATGCTGGCTATGGTCACACCTCCTGCATGCTGGCTGTAGTCACACCTCCTGCATGCTGGCTATGGTCACACCTCCTGCATGCTGGCTATGGTCACACCTCCTGCATGCTGGCTATGGTCACACCTCCTGCATGCTGGCTATGGTCACACCTCCTGCATGCTGGCTATGGTCACACCTCCTGCATGCTGGCTGTAGTCACACCTCCTGCATGCTGGCTATGGTCACACCTCCTGCATGCTGGCTATGGTCACACCTCCTGCATGCTGGCTATGGTCACACCTCCTGCATGCTGGCTATGGTCACACCTCCTGCATGCTGGCTCTGTCTCCTGGCTGGACCATCTGAGTGCTCCCCCTCACATCCTGCACCTATGTCTTCATCTCATCCTTCTGCGCTTCTGAGGGCTTCCCATTCATCCCCATGGCCGCAGTTGCTATTTCCTAACTCACAGTGCAAGGGAATTCACCCACCTCCGCTAATCATCTCTAAGGCTGCCCAAATTTCACTGTGGCCATACCCAACTCCTTTGCACGACACAACCATACCTCGCTACACCACTGTCCTCCTGCGTGCCCACGGCAGCTATCTCGGGACCTGTCAGTAAGCCCCAGCACACATACCCTGTAAAGGCCTCTTTGTTCGGAGCCCCCCCCCCCCCCGCCCACAGCTTCTGATTCATGGGATGACCAACACCTCCTTATGTGCCGGTCACCCAGCCTTCACCAAGCCCTTCTCCACTCAGTTATCTGCAGAGAGCCAGACTGGTATGGTTGACTGTGGCTCCTGTGGCAATCATGTCACTTGCCTGCTTTATAACCATCAATGGCTGCCTAGCACCTTGAAGACGAAACTCCTTCACTCCACCGTTAAGTCCACGAAGAAGGTCTGCACTGCTTTCTTTAGTCCCCCCCCCCCCCAGCCTCATTCCCAACTGGACTTTTCACCCATCGGTGCCTTCCCCATTGCCACTTATTCCTCCGCTGTAGAAGATTTACCTCTGCTCTGGAGCACCTGACCCCCTGCATCTACTCTCAGACTCCAGCCTACCAGTCACTTCCTGCTAGAGGCCCCCTCACCTCCCAGGTCGGCACTGGAATTCTCTTTAATCCCCCCCCCCAGTCCTAACTTCAACCCAAGTGCAACATTACACTGTTCCCTGGAATGCCACAAGGCAGACCTGAGTGACAAGTGAGGTCAAGGCAGGATCGCATCTCAGAAGCATAGCACTTGCTTTGCATGCACAGGACCCCGGGTCTCAGCCCCAGTAGCTTGAAAAGCAGTAGTCAAAAAGTTCTGAAACTCCTTCCTTCCTGAAATGGCAGAGATAACATTTCCGTCTTCCAGGGTCATCTACACTCAGTGGCTTCCCTACAAGGCGCACATGCTAGAAGGAGACAGCGCTTTCTGAGTAACTGTAGTTGTTCACCTACACAGCATATTTGTGAGCACTTCTGAAGTCAAAGTTGTAAGGTGAATATGTGAATTGCCCTGGTTTCCATCATTATGCAAAGTACACACCTGTACATGTAAACACATCATTCAAAACGAAAGCTTTAACAAATATGGCGGCAGTGATGCCATGTTACTCCTCAGACTTAGCTCATAGTTGCAACAAGGCTTTTAGCTCCACAAGGCTTTTAGCTCCCCGCTACGTGGAGCAGCCTCCACATAGCAGAGTGAACTGCATTCCACAGTTGAGGGAGCAGGGGTAGCCATGTTGGAAGTGGCCCATTGGCACTTGATACACATTGAACACTGTAACAATGTAACAATGAACTGGAATACAATGAACAAATAGATGAATGAAAGAATGAATGAATGAATGAGTAGGGTAACTTGCCATGGCCTCATAATCTGAATCAAGGCATGCAAGTGTGCTACAGTTATTCTTTCTACTACATTGCCCTCAGGTCCCCCAAGTTCACTCAGAAATCTTACCACCTTGTCTTTACCAACATGTGCCTGACTCTTCCAAAGGTGTTGCTAGGCAGTGGCTCTACCCATGCTGTGGAGGTCAAGGGCCAGGATGTGGTTCACTTACCCAAGTGCAAAGACATCTGAATGCTTGGAGAAGGGTAGCTTGTCCTCTTCAGTGTCAGGGGACAACTGGCGGATAATCTCTGGGGCCAAGTGGCACAGCCAGCCATTCTGGATGCGTAACTTGTCTTCTCTCCTGCGGAGGAGAAGCCCGGGTGAGACTTGTTTCGTAGCACTGACCCCAGGTCCTGGAAACACTTCTACCAGCTTCCTACCCTCTCCAAGGGTGTTCCCTGGCCCTCAGTATGAGGCTGAGACCCAGGGTGAGGTGCAGGGAAAGGGATGATGGAGGCCAGTCCAAGTCTCTGGGCCATTTTTCTCATCTTCACTGGATGATGGGCATTCTTGTCGTTCCTACAAGTTAGTTGTGCTCTGCAGTCTAAGGTTGCCTCTAGGGAAACTGTCCTGACTTGTTTCCTGTGTCACCTTGACACAAGCTAGAGTCATCAGAGAGGAAGAAGCCTCAGCTGAGGAAATGCCCCCATGAGATCCAGCTGTGAGGCATTTTCTCAGTTAGTGATCAGTGGTGGAGGGCCCAGCCCATGGTGGGCGGCGCCAACCCTGGGCTGCTGGCCCTGAGTTCTATAAGAAGGTGGGCTGAGCAAGCCATCTGTAGCAAGTCAGTAAGCAGCACCCTCCATGGCCTCTGCGTCAGCTCCTATCTCTGGGATCCTAACCTGTTTGAGTTCCTGTCCTATTTCCTTCAGTGATGACTAGCAATGTGAAGTGTGTGTGTGTGTGTGTGTGTGTGTGTGTGTGTGCTCTTGACACATGCCTAGAGGTCAGAGGACAAACTGCAGAGACTGGTTCCCTTTTACCATGTGGGTCCTCCTTGCAAGCACACTTGCGAGCTGAGCCATCTCATCAGCCCCAAGGATTGAACTTTACATTTAATTCCACTTTAAATTTTTAATTGTATCTAGTCTCTCTCTCTCCTCTCTCTCTCTCATGCATGAGCACGCATACACATACACACACACACAGAAATCACATAATGGGGTTGGTCAGAGGACAACTTTCAGGAATGATTCTCTCCTTCTAGCATGACAGCCTCAGGGATCAAAGTCAGGTCATCAGGCTTGGCAGCAAGCACCTTTATCCACTGAGCCTTCTCCCAGACCCCGATTCCACTTTAATTAAAGTTGAATCTGCACAGATACATCTGTCTGGCTAGTGGCCCAGATCTAGATAATGATTTACGAAAACCAATTAAAAAAAAAAAAACTTAAATGTATTTTAATAAGTGACTTTTAGCACAGCCATAAATAGAAACTAGTATTTTTCCAATACACATTAAAATGAAGGCAGAGAGTGCTTGTCCATTCCCTCCTTAAAATCCACTCACAGCCAACACTCTCAGGAACCCTGGGCCTAAAGGAAAGAACTCTTAATGAGGTGGCAGGAGTTTGGGGGTTCAGGGTTCCAGACCTGCAGATGCGTTTCCCAGCTGGGTGAAGGGGGCTAGGAACATTCTAGACTTGCAGTTCTCTAAGCCATTTTTCTTCTCGGAGAGAACACAGCATCCATGTGGACAAACAGGTATTGAGAGATCCCTAGACAGGGGCTGAAGGGAGGAGACTGAGCTGGGGGATTACTGCAGCTTTAGCTTGCTACTCTGTGTGTGTGTGTGTGCGCGCGCATGTGCGTGTGTATGTGTGCGCGCGTGTGTGCGTGTGTATGTGTGCGCGCGTGTGTGCGTGTGCATGTGTGTGTGTGTGTGTGTGTGTGTGTGTGTGTGGCTGTCCATGGGGTACCTCTTCATCCACCATCAGTTGGTCCACTGCCTGTATTTCTACAGCAGGAGGCAGACAGTCAGGTGGCCATCATGCAATCTTTTCTAACTCAGGCTTCTCATCCTCAATGCCATTATTAGTGCGGACATTGCTATCAGGTTGGGCTGTTCTGTGCTTTATACCATGTTCTGTGACACCCCTGGCCTCTATCCCCCCTACACACACACACACACACACACACACACACACACACACACACACACACACACCTCTTAGCTGAAGCTAGGAAGAATGTCCCCAGACCTATGAGCAGGAAAAATTGCCCCCATTGAAAGTTCTTCATTTAATACATATTAAAGAATGCTACAGATTCCAGTGTCACAAATGTTTCTTCTACTGTGAACAAAGAACATGACAGTCCATGTCCCCTGCTAGTACCAAGGGCCCAGACATCTTTCTTCTGGGATCAAGAACACCTGCTGACATTTAAAGGTTTAAGGATTCATTTGTTGCTTCTTAGCTGTGAGACCTCGGGCAGGCCTTGGTCTCTATTTTCCCATCTGCCAAATGGGTACATTCATTCATACCTCAGGTAGCTACGGCAACATAAGAGCATCTAGTTCAGGGCTATGTCTGCTGCCAGGGCTATATGACTCCTGGGTGGAAGTTATTGCACATGACACCTCACACACATATATTACATTTGTTTATTTGGAGGACAGAGTCCAAAGTAAGAAAGTTGCAGAATAGGGAACTTAGAGTGGGTCAGTCAACTTTCCCCAGGAATTGCCAGTCCTTTCAGGGGCTGGGGGCCTGGGAACCACTGGGACAGAAGAGGGTGTGGCAAGCACACAAATGTCATCAGCCTGGGACTGGCGTAGGCACCCGCCTGGGAGAGGGTTAGAAGCCAGACTTGGTGCCTACACCCCAGGGTGTCCTGTTCCCATGGCAATGGTCCCACCAGTGACAACTCTAAATCATCCTCATTATGGTTATTATTATGATTAATAGCAGGTTGTGTAAGGCTGGCACGCTAGGGCTGCCTCCTTAAATGATGCTTTTTTCTTGAGGGTGGCAGAGCAGCTGTTTTCGGGGATCTCTATGGCTACCTCTCTGCTTCCAGTCTAAGTGGGTCTCTTCCAGTCCAGTGGAGTGTTCTGGAAAACAGCAGCTCTGGGGAACCTGACTCCAGTCAGCCCATCACATCCTGGGACTGTGATTTGAAGTATGCCTCTCCATTTGAAATCCCGTTACCGCTGTTCTACCCATTCTATAGGCTCAGGTGCATACTCAACGAATTTAAGTCCCTGTCATCTATCCCGAAGTGTTATGGCCTGGGATTGTTCCCAGACTCTCGTGCTAAAGCCTGTACTCTCACTGTGACAGTCACTAAAGGCAGGGCTTGTGGGCTCATCAAAGCAGAAGGAGGGACTACCGGGGAACGAGAAAGAGCCAGAAAGAAGGGAGACACACAAGGGGGCTAAGGCTGAGTGTGAGCAAAGTACATGACACATAGGTGTGTAAATGTCATAGTGGAACCCGCCATTTGGGACAATGAATATATGTCCGTAATTTATTCTGTCTCATGTATTAATCTTTAGACGTTTGAAATTACATTTATTAATTTATTTGTGGGAGGGGGGTTGGAGAGTGTGTGTGATGGTCAGAGTTGGTTCCCTCCTTCTACCATGTGGATCCAGGGATTGAACTCAGGCCATTAGACTAGGTCATTACCCCCCTTGCCATCTTACTAGTGCATGTACATACATACATACACACACACACACACACACACACACACACACACACACACACACATCAATATGCCAGTTATATATGTATATATACACACATATATACATAGATAATAAAATAATATATATGCATATATTAAAGACAGGGATTTTAGAGAGATAATTAAGATTAAACAAGGTCTAAACCCAGGGCCCTGAGCAGTCGGTTGTCATACTTAGAAACTAGTGGTGTGAATAGGAATGGCCCCACAGACCCATATTTTTAAATGCTTAGTTACCAGGGAGGGGAACTGTTTAAAGCATTAGAAAAATCAGGAGGTGTGGCCTTGTTAGAGAAAGTGTGTCACTGGGGATGAACTTTGAGGTTTCAAAAGCCCACAGCAGGCTCGATGCCTGGCTCTCTGTCTGAAGATCAGATGTAGCTCTCGGCTCCTTCTCCATTGCCATGTGTACCACCATGCTCCCCGCCAAGATGGTAACAGACCAAGCCTCTGATAATGTAAGCCCTCACTAAATGTTTTCTCTCTCTCCTCTCTCTCTCTCTCTCTCTCTCTCTCTCTCTCTCTCTCTCTCTCTAATAAGAGTTGTCTTGGTCATGGTGTCTCTTCACAGCAGTAGGACAGTGACTCAGACGGAAGCTGGTACCAGGGACGATGTTGCTGTGACAGACCTGGCCGTGCTATGTGCTGTAGGGACATGGAGGGCTCTGGGACTAGAACAGTGCTTGGGCACTCTGAGCAGGCACATGAGCCATCCGAGTAGGAGCATGGAAGACAGTGCTGAGGGCGATTTGAACTGTGGGGGTCCCAGCTCAAGACGTTTCAGAGGGGAAGGATGCGAGCAAGTGGCCTAGACACTGTCATTGTGACATTTCAGCAAAGACCGTGCGTGGTTGCTTTTAGTCCTTGTCCTGAAAAACCTGCCTGGCGCTAAATTGAGGAGATTTTGCTTTAACGGCCTTGAGAGATCTAGCAGATCTCTAATGTAAAGGAGCACGCTGGACAAAGACAAAGACAGAATGGACGATTTGAGGAGAAAAGGAACGCTTGGAAGTGTAATGGAGCCACTCCTGTGTTTGGGGGAGACAAAGGATTTAAAGAAAGGCCTGATCCACAGTGAAATGGAGGGAATGGTGACCTTGGGGACCCACTTCACACTCCTCAGACATGGGTACCAATTTCAGTCTTGGCCACGGTTACTATTGCTCTGATGAAACACCCTGACCAAAAACAACTTCGGTGTGTGTTGGGGGGGCGGGTTGTTCACTTGGCTTACACATCTGCATCACAGTTCATCATCAAAGGAAGTCAGGACAGGAGCTCAAGCAGGGCAGGACCCTGGAGGCAGGAGCTAATGCAGAGGCCATGGAGGGAGCTGCTCACTGGCTTGTCCCCCATGGTTTGCTCAGCCTTTCTTATGCCACCAGCCCAAGGGTAGCACCACCCACAATGGGCTGGGCCCTCCCCAATCAATCGCTAATTAAGAAAAGGCTCTACAAGCTTGCCTACAGCCTGATCTTACCGAGGCATTTTCTCAACTGAGGTTCCCTCCTCTCTGATGACTCCAACTTGTGACAAGTTGATACAAAACCAGCCAGCACAGAAACAGACCAGACTGGAGAATGTTGTCTCTTTCTCTTCCTCCATTCCTTCCTTCCTTCTCTTCTCCAAGCCCTTCTCCCCCGTCCCCCACCTATCTGATACATCACATGAGGACATAGTGAGTAGGGATCCATCTATAAGCCCGGAACACAACACTCTGCAGAAACAGGCCTTGACCTTGAAGCCCCAGAACTGTGTACTGCATCAGCACCCCACGACCTCCTACCTCCTTATAGTAACCCTGCAAATCTGAGTGGTCATTTGATGCCTGGCTGAATGGAGATGCAGACTTAGGAACTTAGGCTTCACTCCTGAAAATGGATGTGTTGCTGCCTGCAATTTCCACTGCCCTGACTCAGCCCCCACCCTCCACTCCCAGGCTGCTAACCAGGACCACAGACATTCCGTGCTCGGTCGTGTCTCCTGTCTCTGTCTTCTTGCTCCTGTTCGGCATTATTCCTGAGATTCCACTGTCTCTCCTGACATGAAATAGACATGTGTTGACAGCCAGGGTGGGGCAGAGATGGTAGGGGGCGTTGTCTGGGTAAGGCAAGAAGCCACCTTATCTCCGCTTTGGCTTGATTTCCTTCCTGGTCGGTCCACACTGGGTCCCCAGGAAGAAAAGGAGGAGAGCACCCAAGCTCCTTCCTGGTCTGCAGTGTGGCCTCAGCAATACAACAGAGTAAGGGACATAGTCATCGACTCCTGCCCCCGCCTCCCACGACAAGGAGAGCGAGCAGGTATAGATAGGTGTTACATTTTAACTGAGATGTGGTCCCGGAAGACTCACTGTTGGAGGCTCGCACCCAGCTTGTGGTATTATCGTGGGAGGCTCAACTAGGCAGAGCATAACTGGAGGAAGTAAGTCACAGGGGGTGGCTTGAGTCTTCAGGAGTGTCTTGTCCCTGGCTACTTCCTGTCTCTCATTCCCAACTTCCTGTCAGCCACGAGATGAAGAAGTTCCTCATCCACGTGGGGCCCGCCTCCATGATGACTGTCCAAATCCATGGAACTAAGCAGCCATGCTGAATCCAAGAATCTGTGAGCCGTGCTAAATCTTTCCTCCAGTAAGCTGTGCGTATTTCCTTCACCGTGAGGAACTCACTGACATCGCAGGTCACCAGGAGGGAGAGATCTAACTTTCTGACCAGTCCCAAATCAAGTTAAAGAAAACACTTGTTCAGCCTCCATTAGTCCCATGTAAATACTTGGGTTCACAGTGACGTCACCATTTGTATCCCTAACCCTACTCTGCCCCAGGGTCCCAATAAATGAGTGACTGTGACTCTCCCTGGCAAGCCAGGGACCTTGGTACTGCTGTGGGATAGAGCAGGGAAGGAGCCCTACCCAGTCTTGATCTGCTAATTTCTTCAGGGACTTGCTCTCTGCATGTATCTTTTGATCTATTTGTTTGCCTCTACTTATCTTAGTGCCATAGATAGTTCTAGATAATGGGTACATCCTATCTGGATGAGTGAGATGATACCTGAAGACAGAAACCAATGCTGCTTCCTCTATGTCACCTCACCTCCCCCCCCCCCCAGAAACAGCTCATGTCATGTTTTGTTAAATTACAAGCACTCTGACTCAAATGCAAAGGTAGCTCATAGCAGTGATAAAATCCTCCAGGAAGACAGGGAGATTGTCCCTCAAAGAAACCAGTGGTTTCTCCAGAATGGCAGAAACTGAAACACAAGGAGAGGAATCAGGGCCGGCTCCCTGCGGAGGGAGGCCATTCATTATGATGCAGGGGTTTAAGATGTGTGTGCCATGCGTGTGGTGTGTACACAGTACACACTCCAAATTAAAATTCGTGAGGGCAGACCTTCCGAGTTATAGGCTGTTTATTTGGGATCAAGCTGTTTCTCGAATGGCTGACTCAACGTGGCTGGCTCCAGGGTGAGTGGCCTCTGAGAGTTAATTACTTAAAGATGGTTAATCATTCCCTGGGTGATCCTGGGGAGGTATATGCAAATGACTGCTAATTACAACACAGCAGTACAGCTATTTGCCCCGAATCTGATGCCACTCACGGTCCTGTGCTGGATCCTGTATCCTCATGTTTTATCTCCATAAGGACCCTCCAAGTGAGGCATTTTCAAACACACAAGCAAACTCCAATTCAGAGAATATTACTTCTCATGACCGTGGTCACAGTTAAGAATGGAAGGACCCCCATCTGGCTTAGGTAGTCTGAGCTAACCACTTGCTCTTAGCTGTGTTTAGCTTGAAGCTTAGGGCTTGGTGAACCCCAACCCCTAGGGGAGGCCCCTAGGCAAAGAGGAAGGCCCTCCAGCCCGGGACAAAAAGCTCGTGAGTTTGGGGGATGTGTTAGATCTTGTGCCACACACTCAAAGGTACTGCTTCCAGGACAAGTGAGCGAGACACTAAGCTCATGAGACCAAGAGAATTACTTTGGTGACCCCCGCTGGCATGGCAGCCTATACAAAACCCTCGACAACTGTAAGCTCAAACCCTAATCTAAGCCACTCAAGACATTTGGGGTGAGCTCCTACCCCCTGAAGGTCACTTATCAAGAGCCCCTCTGGTGCCCTCTGTCCCCTCTTACCTGCCAGCCTGCAGCACCCCAGAAATGCTGAAGAGCCCGAAATCCGTGATGACCACTTTACCGTTGTCGTAGAAGACATTCTTTGATTTGAGGTCCTTGTGAAGGATGCCTTTGGCATGGAGGTAACCCATGCCCTGTAAGAGATGAGGAGACGAGGATTCACTGGAGGCAGATCCTGTACTTTCTCTGTCACCACTGCTTGGATCCCCGAGGGTGGAAAAGTATAGGGTCCACCCATGGAGCTCAGGGTTTACAAAGGTTCTTTGGGTCACAAGCCCACCATCACCCACAGACCCCTACAAAGCCATATCCATGGGGGCTGCTCTGGGGCTTTGCTGCCTCTGTTACTCGGCCCCCAGCCCCGTAGAATGACCTGAGATACTCGGGACCTTCCACAACCCCCACATCAAGAACACACAGGGAAACCCACCAGCAGTTTGGAGATTGCTTTTACTTCTTTTTGCCTTGCTGAGCAGTTACTGTGTTCTTTATTTACTCCTACAGGTCATTCCTACCACTTCTGATGGAAACTGAAAGCCTGACTGTAGACTGTAACTCAGCAGTAAGGCACCTGTCTGGAGACCCGGGACATCTTATCCGATTTCATCTAAGACAACACTAAACACCTCCATGTTTCCCGGGCCATGGAGAGACAAGATGTCTGGGTGTTCACAGGAAATTCAGGACTGCAATATGACAGTTTCTAACAGTGATGCTTTAAATCTGCAATGTCTCCCACAGATGTATGTTTTGGATGCTTGGCACCTAACCGGCATTATCTTCTTTTAGAAAGTCTTGGGAGGTGGAGCCTAGTGGAGGAAGTAGGTCGCTGTGGGCAGGCCTTTGGGGGAATGCCATCCCTGCCTATTTCCTGTCTCACTTTCTGCCTCCTGGTCTACCTTGACGTGAACCATCTCTGTCCCAGACTCCCATCATCATGAACTAGACTCTGCGACCTACCTTTCCTCCCTTCAGCTGTTTCTAGCAGAGTGATCCAGAAGTTTCTGATACTCTACCCAAGAGAGTTGAGTGGCTTATCTATACCCACTGGCCATTGCCTGTACCCAGGAACGGTGACCATGAGGTGCCCTCCAGAAAAAGTTTCAGGCAGTGTTCCTAAGGGTTGCATCTTGACATATTTGTTGTACATAACATCCAGTGTTTTTCAGACTAAATCTAATGTCTTTGAGGTCCAGACTATGGGTCTAAACCCAGACCCTGGGTCTTAGGATTCTTTGAAGGGACTGCCAGAGGAGGCTGGGTCTTTGTAAGGTCCAGGTAGGGGCCCCAGAACTCATGGTACCTTCACAATTTCTTGTGCGATCTGTCTGGTTTTGTTGACATCCAGGACAATCTTGGCATCTCTCACTACAGAGTAGAGGGTCCGTCCCTTACAGAGGCTGTAAAGCAAAAGAACAAGGTCACTCGGGGAAATGACTGGCAGTAGTGAGGGTAGCTCTCGGAGGACTGAGAGGATGTGTCACCACGACACTGATGTGACATTAATAGGCCTTGCACCGAACCCCAGAGCTGGTTCTGGGTGACAATCTGTGAAGAGGTCTTTGTGGATTCTTTTGGGGGGGATGGGATTTCGGACAGAGTTTCTATGTATTGCTTTGGAGCCTATCCTGGAACTCACTCTGCAGACCAGGCTGGCCTCGAACTCACAGAGATCTGCCTTCCTCTGCCTCCCGAGTACTGGGACTAAAGGCGTGTGCCTTTGTGGGTTCTTTAAGAATATCAGCTATGTCCTGCCACATAGATGCCTGTAAGACCCAGGTTTGGAAGTGTCTGTGGTGGTTTCATTAAGAAGGGCCCCTCAGATATTTGAATGCTTGGTCACCAGAAAGTGGGACTCTCTGAAAGCTCTAGAAGGATTAGGAGGAGTAGCCTTGTGGGAGGAAGTGTGTCACTGGAGGCGGGCTTTGAGGTTTTAAAAGCCCACGTCAGACACAGCCACACCCCAACCCCTCTGCCTACGGATCAGGATGCAGTTCTCAGGGACCACTCCAGCTCTTGCCTGCAGGCTGCCATGTTTTCTTCCACGATGAGAATAGACTGACTGCACCTCTGAATCTGTGAACATGGCCACAATTAGATGCTTTCTCTTGTAACAATTGCCTTGGGCATAGCATCTCTTCACAGCAACAGAACAGTGAATAAGACAGCTGGCCTGCCATGTCCCTCAACCTGGGGTCTCTCTCTATGTGTATGTGTGTGTATGTACAGTGCATACGTGTGTGTGCGCGTGCACGCTCGTGTGTGTGTGTGTGTGTGTGTGTGTGTGTGTGTGTGTGTGTGTGTGTAGGTGCACATGCATTTGTGTACACATGCATATGGAGGCCAGACAATAACTTTGACTGTCATTTCTCAGGTGCCAACCACTTTGGTTTTTTTGTTTTGTTTTTGTTTTTTTGTTTTTTTCTTTTTTTGAGATAGGATCTCACTAAGTGGAGACTCTCGAAGTAGGCAACTGGGAATTCACCCTTGTCTGCCTCCCTAGCGCTGAGATTATACACATCTTTTTTACATGGTTCCAGGAGGCTGAACTCAGGCAGACCCACAGCTTGTAAGGTCAGCTCTGAACCAAATGAGTCACATCTCCAGCCTCCCTCGCCCTTTTGGACACAGACTCTCACTATATAGCTCAGGCTAGCCTCATTCATGGTCCTCCTGCCCAGCCTCCTAGCTGCTGGGACTATAGGCCTGTGCCATCATGCCTGGCTCCCATCCGGCGTCTTAAAAGAGAGCTGTCACAAACCAGTAACTTCTGGGCCCTCAGACACCACTCAGACTGTGCTGTCTGCCATATGCCCCAGCTGGGAGTCCCTGTGTGGGGACCGGGATGAAGGAGCAGTAACACTGTGTCTGCTGTGCCCTGTGCATCATCTGCAAACGGTCCATTCAGTCTCTTCACCTGGGGGGGGGCGTGTCAAGAGAACAATGACACCCAATCAGGCAGCGGCTGAATGGAGGGCTCAACCCATTCACAGCCTCCTTGGGTTTACTTCAAGGACTGGTAGTTTAAGATGAATGATGGGATGAAAGGACATTGTGCAGAGGCAGCAACACCTTTTCACTCCACAGCCTGCCCGTTCCTGCATCCCAGCCTTCCTGGTGAGCTTCCCTCCCGACACACACAGAACAGGTGCTGTGAAGAGTCGCTGAAGGAATGAATGAGTGAATGAATGAAGGGATGGATGGATGAATGGATGAATGAAGGAAGGAATTCTGTATTCACTAGAGCGTCCCCGGCCGCCCAGAAGCCAGCATTGCCTAAAAGAAGTATGGGAGTCATTATGATAATTAATTTTCCGTCTCTATAAAATTAACAGCTTGAATGCATTTCTTTTCATTTCTAGCTTTATTGTTAAAGTGCTCCGGGCATGCTGTTTCCTCCTCTGGTGTTTGTTCAACCTCTTTTTCAAGCTACACTTGTACTCCTGGGGTAGAATGAGCTGGTACTGGAGGAATCCCAGTTCAAATCCCAGCTCGGAGTCTTGCTTACTGTAACCTCTTGGGATGGCTCCTCAGGCTCTCTGGTCTAGAGCTTCCTCGTGTATCAAAGCAAACCTACTTTGTAGATTAATGTATGGACCGAAGGAGGTCAAGTCCAACCTGGTGTCTGGAATGTGAAGGGAGATCCAGCCATGTGACCCTGAGTACTCCTGACAAGTAAGTTATCTTCTCCATCACAAAATGGGGGTGGTACTTCCTGCCTTGCCAGAACTCAGGTATGCACAAATGTAGGCATGGATCCCTGCACAACACACAGTAGGTCCACATAGCCTTTGCAATCAATAAAAACGGTGAACATGCACATGTACAAATGGAGAAATGACGTATTCCTCTGTGCATCGCTTCTGACTGCCTCTGTCTACCAACCTATCTCACTAGTGTGTACATCTGTCTGTCCATCCATCCATCTATCCGTCCGTCCGTCCGTCCGTCCGTCCATCCATCCATCCACTCACCATCCCAAACGCTACCTAGAGCCATGATCTTCTATGAGGATTTGTTTCTTCACCTGCATAGGGCGAGGGTTCCAAGAGAGCTGACTCACTCACAAGCGGTTTGATTCACTCCTCCAAGGTCGCCCAGCACACAGGCAGTCTAAGATGACTCAAGGCTGCCCCCTCTTTGCAGCACAGCAGCAAGTTGGCCTAGCCTCTGCAACAGAGGTGGAGGAAGGGCTGGCCCAGCAAGCCAATTTTGCTCTGTTGACATTTACGTATCAGAGATGGAAGACGGTGGGTGGATTCCCTCCCCCGGATACCTCATTCTCCAGTGGCCACCTACACTCATCACAGACCAGAGCTCTCCCTGAGACACAAGGAAGAGCAAATAATTGCACCAGACTCCAAGACTCCCGGCATCTACAGCCTCGGGTAGCCATGAGAAACCCCCATCCTTGTTCATATTCCTTCTTGGTCACCATGGAGAATGCCTGCTTCCTGTCTTCACTATGTTAAGTTACCTGGGGCTGCTGACCACGTAACACTACTTGCCAGAGAGTGGACACCGGCGCAGCTATGATTTGGCTCATCTACAACAGCCAAACATGCAGATAATGCTGGATACATGCCCAGCAGACACACATACCCACACTAACCCTCAAATACGAGTTACAGTATCATAAAATCCTAATGGCAATGCTTCTGCATTTGTCCCAGAGTAGGAGCAATCTGTAGGAGCTGAAATAACCGCAGCCTCCCTCCACCTGGCTCTTACCCTGACGCCCTTGACCTCAGTGTGATACTGTGATGGCAGCGAGAGGTGAGAACCAACAGAGGGGCTGGATGAGGGGAGAGGGCCCTCAGAGAGGCTCACCCAGAGCGTTCATTCGGTGACTTTACACCACGCCAGAACACAGCGTGAAGGTGGCAGAGTGTAACATGATGAGTCCTTGCCAAAGCGGGACTGTGCTGGCCTCCTAGTCTCAGACTTCAGCCTCCACACAGATGACTAAGTTTCTCTTCTTTATAAGTTACCTGGTCCACGGCAGTTTGTCATTTTTTCCTCTTCTGCATTCGTATAGGAATCCAGCTTGCGTGTGCTATGTAGGCACTCTGCTGCTGAGCTGCAACCCCAGCCCTAGGATTTTGAGGAGATGTCTCTCTGAGTAGCCCAGGCTGGCCTGGAACTCCAGATCCTCCTACCTCAACCCCCCTCCCCCAAAGTGCTGTCATTACAGAAGAGCACAACCACACTTGGTTGAGCGTGGCCTTTGAAAGCTCTCCACGGGTATTCATTTTCTGTGCCTTTCTCCTTCCGCCGGGCATAGCATCCTTGGGCTCATCACTGGTGTTGCAAATGGAACACCAAAAAGCCTCCTGCCTGTTCACCAGAAGACTCGGGTCGGTTCCCTGTTGTTCTAGTTCCATTTTGGTGGCTGTGACTCCCTTTATCTTGCTGACAATTCCAGGTCACAGTCCATCACAGAGCAGTGGTCAGGAAGGAAGGAGGTCACGCCATACCCGCCACCATGAGTGGAAAGAGGAGAAACACATCTTGCTAGCTACTCAAGTCTCTGTACTCTTATACAGTCCAGGGCCCAGCCTGGGGGTAGACCACTTTCACGGTGGACTTTCCCACCTCAACCAACAATCAAGGTAACCCCCACTGACATGCCCATAGGCCAACCTGACATGGACAGCCCCTCATTGTCACTTTCTTCCCAGGTGAGTCTAGGTTGTATCAAGTTGACAGTTACAACTAACCAGCATTCATATCTTGGCCAATGCAGGGAAGAACATGGGTGTGTAGATGTCTCTCCTCTGTTTGGAGCTGGCATTAGGACCCAGGCTCCTTAGATCAGGCCCTTGTGCTCTGGGGGCCCATCCTTTGCTACACAGCATCTTCCTCTGAGACCCTGGTGCACATAGATCTTCAGTAAGTACAGCTGTGACATCTCTACCAATATCATCAAAGGCAATGAAGATTAATGGGGGCTGCTGTGCTCAGGAGAGTTAGTCTGGAGGTCAGGAGAAGGTGCTTCACAGTAGCTCATAGGTTTAACTGGTTCTCCTTTAGTGTATGAGGCAGTGTATATACAAGTGTGTGTGCACGCACACACGCACACTCACACACACACACACACAAACACACACACACACACACACCTTGGTATCTCTCTGAGTAACAAAATGGTTTCTCCACAAAGACTAGGGCTTTGCCTTCTCTACAGGCTACTCCACCTCCTCCAGCCTGGCCTCTGGCAAGAGCCCCAAGGCTGCCTTGAACTTTTTATCCAAGAAGTACAGCAAGCCTTTAGACAAGATGACCCTGGGGTGGAAAATCTGTGTTGTGAGCCAGCCTACCATGGGCTTATCAGAAATGAGGCAAGCCCATCCAGCAAGTCTCTGTCCAAATAGTCTCCTTTGACACAGACAGTAGCCAC